CACCTCACAATTACATATCTCTCTCTTCTCTCTCTATGTGCCGCACCCATTCTCTCTCTGGCCTCCATAATTGTTCAGTAAATTATGCCTACAACAATTTATACCACCTAATGTAATTATTTTGTTGACCACCTCATCTATATAATTGAGACTCACCTATATTATAGAGGTGATTAGCAATGTGATTCACATAACTAACACTCTCTAATAAAAGTAACCAAATAGTTAATTAAATTTAATAAATCCTAGGATAAAGTACCTAAAACCCCTAACCTTTTAGTGTCATTCCAAATTGGTCTCAACCTTTTTAAAGCATTTCAAGTACCCAACCTATTAAAAATGTCACATCCATTAAGCCCCAATTAAAAATATGTTAAATTAACTTGTCTCCAAAATCAATAGAAGGTCATAAGAAGCATAGCTTCCACCAACTAAGAGTCACCACCACCCCCATTAAGCTATCACCTCAAAACCCAACGCAAAACCACCAACTCCACCCTACAACTCAAGCCGCTAACATCGAGAAGAAGGCATGGAGGTTGTTGAAATGGTATGGACTGCTATGATGCGGCCACCACCATCTTTGCCACCCACAAAGAAGAATTAGAAGCTTTACGAGCCAAGAATCGGCAAATGAGAAAATTACATGAGCAGAAACAAGTTCCCTGAAACTCTATCTAAATTCTTAACCATGTTCTTTGTTAGAAGATTGCCCGCCTGATGTAATTTCAATTTGGGTCCATTTTTTATTCATTTCGATACTCGTTTAATCATTTGGTTCCATATTACATAATCTATGTTTGAAATTTAGATTTTGAGGCAATTAATATTAATGTTGATCATGATATTCCCAGTTGGTGAGTTTTGAATATAATCTATGTTTGAAAAATTAACTGGGGCTTAGTGAATGTGACATTTTCAATAGGTTGGGTACTTATTTAAAATATTTAAAAAAACTAAGACTAATTTGAAATGACACTAAAAGATTGGAGGGTTTTAGGTACTTAATCCTAAATCTTATCTCGTACCGTAATTAGATTAAGGATTTGTTTGTTTCTTTTTTACGTAACGTTGAATTAAACACGTTGTACATGTACTTTTTTACGTTATCTTTGATATGCTCATGTTGCTGAAGTATGGCACTGGTGGTTTCGTTGTGAAGGTGACTTGCCATACTCGGTTTCCCTCTACTTTAAGTGTAGTTTGGAATATTCTGCATTTGCTTTCCGATTACCATATAAAATGTTTACTAGATTCTGCAAGAAAATTGTAGGAAGTTTCCAAATATTGTCTACACATGCATGCATGAATGCCATTAGAAGCAACACATAAATGGTTAAAAAATGAAAGACAGAATACTTATGAATTTATAATATCCTTGGTTGAAAAGAAAATTTCAATTTTAAAAATTCTAGGTTAAAAGTTTATTTGAATTATTAGAATAGATGAAAGTGTTATTATAGTGTTTTTTTTTTTTTTCTTTTTCTGAAGGGGGACAACTGGTGACAAGTTACAGTTATCCATTCTTTTTGGGCTCAGAGAGGCTATGGGAAATTTCAACTTGTCCATGGCCACAGTCAAGCATACTCACCAACTCAGAGCATCTAATCCGGGATCTCTGCATTTTTTTTGTTTATTGGGAAGCAACAGTTTGCGTCCTTACCATTGAGCCACTTGATGTAGTTGTTATTATAGTGCTTGGCAAATATTGTTGTTTTTTTTAAAGGGGACCAGCTGGTGGCTTGGCCACTGCAGTCCACCTTTTGGAGGGCCAGAAGACTCTAAGAGGCATTTTAGCCTCAACTGGACAGTATTGTGTGATTCACCAGCGCAACAAAATCAAATGTAGGACATGCCATGTGAAATACGGGCCTAAAATTCATCCACATCCAAGGTTCTAAAAGACACTAGACACTAGTCAGGCAGCGGGCTAAGGCTTAGCCGTCTAGGCAGACTAGATGGATTTAATTAAATCTATTATAATTTATGTAAATAAGTGTCTGTTTATATTTACAATATATATGTTTTCATCATAAACTACAAAATGAAATAACATACATATTATGAGCTATTGGAACACAATGAAAATATGGAGAACAAGTATATAATGTGTTTTCCTTTAAGTATTCAACAAGTCTATTACAATTTATTGAAAAAATAAAATGTAAATGAAAGTTATCTATTTTCTGTCTAAGTGAGTTACAACTTAGGCAGGTCTGGGCGGGCGAGGCGGGCGAGGTGGGCGCCTTAGTAGGTTTAGGCATCCTTTCTTAATTTTCAAACACCTAGACATTAATCTGGACGGTGACCAACCTTCTAGCGCTTAGACGGTGATAGACGGAGATTTTTAGAACAGTGTCCACAACCATTGAATCACCTTGTCGTAAATACTTTTTTTTTTTTTGCCCAATGGTAAATACTATTGTTGGCTTCATGCAATTATATCTCTGACCACAAAAAACGTACGTACTATTTTTGCAACAAATAATTACTCTCTTTTCTAATAATATGCTTTTTTTATATAGATTAAGTATGATATTCCTTGAAGAAGAAAGAAAACATACAATCAAAGAGGATAGGGTGCTAACAATGGGTCTCGATAAAAGCCTTGTTGGAGATTTCAACACAGATCAAGAAAAAAACAGCATCCCGCACCTCTAAATTAAGTTAAAATGCTATCCTGAAAAAGAAAACCATAAATATTTAGAGATTCTTTAAACCAAGAAACTTGATTATCCAATGTAATCCCAATCTCGCAAGATGATGTGCAATCGTGTTCGTCTCCCGTCGACCAAACGTGACCTTTCAATGCGGAAAAGACTTTTGAATTTGTCGGGTATCATTCAAAATGTTCCCAAAGGCACCATTACATGGAGTTGCCATATCCTTTTGAAGGGGCATTCATAACCACCATTGCATCCCCCTGCATCTCCAAGTGAGTTGTCACCAGGTTATATGCAAAAACCACTGCTACCCGAGCAACCATGATCTCTGCCAGCAACGGTGAGCAGATTTAGAGCCTGCCTTGAGGGTGTGCAAAAGGTGCCACCGTACAGTGTCACATCCCGGCCCGGACCTTCACCGCAACCCGAACTCGACTCCACCATAGCACAATATTGTTCACTTTGGGCCACAACCATGCCCTCACGGTTTTGTTTCTAGGAACTCACACGAGAACTTCCCAGTGGGTCACTCATCATGGAATTGCTCTCGTGCGAACTCACTTAACTTCGGAGTTCCTATGGAACTCGAAGCCAGTGAGCTCCTAAAAGGCTTTGTGCTAGGTAGAGATGGGGATATACATATAAGGCTTACAGGATCCACTATCCTGGACGATGTGGGATGTAACACACAGGGCTCCCAAATTTTCATTTCATGTATACAGATACATATAAAATAGATTAGATGCAAAAGACAATCACATATGTGGTTTTAGCGCTAGCGGTTTAGCTCTTCTACCTTATAGCCCAAGTGGCCGATTTTTAAGCCTACACATGGACAACAAGTGGGTGATGTGTGAGCACGTGTGGTCCTTTAGGCTTTTACACGAGAGACAGCTTGCTTTGATACCAAGATGAAATTTGGGTTCCCCTTAGCTAGATTTGTCCCTCACTAATGTGAGACAAACTCTCCACACACCATCAACTGTCAACACTTTGCAACCCAAATTATCGTATCTGGTGGTTTAAAATAGCTTAGGGGGATACTCAACATCAAATTTGCCTCAGAAAAAATGCACTTAATCAACCATGAAGAAATTCTCTCTGGGCAACCAATACGGAAAAAATTAATTTAGTTCATTAATGGTTAGAGTTTGATACTCGCTTTTTTCATTGAGTGCATTTTTCCCTACTCCTCATTGATTGTCGTTAAATTTCATTCAGTGCATTCCGGATAATGTCAACGAACTCATACTGGCAAACTGCTGCGTGTAGGTTTGGGAGAAACTTATTCCGTGCATGCAACACGTATTGAAATGGTCTATAGCTTAGTCACCAGCATGCCATGCAAGGTTGACAACAAGGCTTCTTGACAATTCTTATAAATTAGCAGCATGGTGGAGCTTATCAATATACAACCATGAATATGCTACTAGGTTTTCTTTTGGAAGGTGCCTACTACACGTAGCAGGTGGTGTTAAGTTAATTACCAATGCAGCAAATTCTCGGGGTAGGTCCCATTAGATATAAAATATAATCTACAAATAATAATTCTAAAATACGGATTCTCACACATATGATCTAACAAATTTATCGTTTGATAAAAAATAAAAAATAAAAGTCCATACCAATCAATTGCTGCAAGTAATCCACGTGTAATGTAACAAAATTCTAAAATATGAAAAAAAATACAAACAAATTGATGTATTTGATATCTAAGGTGGAGTATGAAACACCCAAATGGAAATCGATGCGTAACCACAGCATGTTTTAGTATATTCTTTAGCTAGAATACAAGATATTCGCATCTCCATATAAGAATAAAAATTTGTAGATATTTTTGCCCATACACAAACAGAGCCGTGGTTGCGCTGCCATTATCACAAAATTGATTTCATAAAAGGGTAAAGAGAACTTATCCGACCAAAATTCAACGAAATAAATTTATTAAAAAAAAAAAAAAAACCAATTGGTGGTTTCGTCTCGGTAAACTACTATTTTAGAGACCGAAAAAACTCACATAAGCATTTCAGCTATCTCATGACCACCTCGTATGATTTATCAACACCGAGGCTCAAATCCAAAACATGCCGGGAACCACGTGACCATCATTCCGTGTTACATATTTTTATTTTATTGTTCAAATTCGGTGTGACAATTCACGTAACTAAACTTAGGGATGTGGTTATAAACGTGGGGTGGTGTCGACGTGTCCAGATCCGATTAAAACATCTGATACGGTATGGACGCTGGAGCCGTGTGCCTCGCCGTAACCAACGAAACTCGACCACTCAACTTGCCCTGCTTCCCCTACCCATATAAAATCTCATTTCCAAACACGATTCATGTCATAAAAAATAAAAAAAAAACAAAAATCCCGAGATTGAGAAATAAGGGAGAAGAAGGAGAATTTGAAAACGAATCCAAAAAAACCCAAATCAAATCTGAGATTATCCCAATGCACTACTGGGTTCGTTTTTTTTTATTTTTTATGAACACAGGCATTTTCTCGGTTTGATTTGCGTGTGAGAATAAAAAAATTGTGTATTGTTGCGATTTTTTTTTTTGAAATTTTGTTGGGATTTTATTGTTGTTCACAAATGGAAATGGAGGTGGAGAAGAAGTATATTTCTGCAGAGGAGCTGAAGAAGCACAAGAAGCCTAGAGATTTATGGATCTCTATCCAGGGCAAGGTTTACAATGTGTCCGATTGGGCGAAAGATCACCCCGGCGGCGATACGATTCTGTACAATCTGGGTGGCCAGGATGTTACAGACGCCTTCATCGCCTACCATCCCGGCACTGCATGGCAGTACCTCAAGAAATTCTCCACCGGAATTTATCTCAAAGATTTCGAGGTCTCCGAGGTGTCGAAAGATTACAGAAGAATGGCCACGGAGTTTTCGAAGGCGGGTTTGTTCGAGAAGAAGGGACACGGCGCTCTGTGCTCAATCGTGATCATTGCCATCATGCTCAACCTCGTCGTGTGCGGAGTTTTGAAATCCGACAGCGTCTTGGTACATTTGATCTGCGGGATGCTTCTGGGGATGTTGTGGATTGAGGGAGCTTACATCGGACACGATTCGGGGCATTACCAGGTAATGTCGAGCCGGTTTTACAACAACATTGCCCAGATTGTTGCCGGTAATTGCTTCACCGGAATCAGCATTGCCTGGTGGAAGTGGACGCACAATGCCCACCACATTGCCTGCAACAGCCTCGATTACGACCCGGATCTCCAGCACATTCCGGTTTTTGCTGTCTCCGCAAAGTTTTTCAATTCGATCACCTCGATTTTTTACGGGAGAGTTTTGACGTTTGATCCTCTGGCAAGGCTTTTGGTCAGCTACCAGCATTTTACATATTACCCGGTTATGATGGTGGGGAGGGTTAATTTGTTTATCCAGACATTCTTGCTCTTGTTTTCGAGGCGGAATGTCCCGAACAGGGGATTGAACATCATCGGAATCCTTGTTTTCTGGACATGGTTTCCCCTCCTCGTTTCGTGTCTGCCCAATTGGAGTGAGAGGGTTATGTTTGTGCTGGCAGCATTTGCAGTGACGTCGCTCCAGCACATCCAATTCACGTTGAATCATTTCTCCGGCGACACCTATCTCGGTGCCCCCAATGCCAATGACTGGTTCGAGAAGCAAGCCGCGGGGACTATCGATATCTCCTGCTCAACTTGGATGGATTGGTTCTTTGGCGGCCTGCAGTTCCAGCTCGAACATCATTTGTTTCCGCGAATGCCTCGCGGACAACTGAGGAAGATTGCTCCAACTGTGAAGGAGTTGTGCAAGAAGCACAATTTGCCATACAGGAGCTTGTCCTTCTGGGAGGCCAATGTGTCCACAATTAGGACTCTAAGGAATGCTGCGCTTCAGGCTAGGGACCTGTCCAATCAAGTCCCGAAGAACTTGGTCTGGGAAGCTTTGAACACTCATGGCTGAGACTTGCTCGAGACCGTGTCAATATGTATTTACTGCCCCAGAAACACACACATTGATTCGCTTACATTGCCATTTTTTTTACAAGTTTGGGGCATCTATCTAGCACGAAGAAGACGATTATCGATGAGCTGGGTTTTGTCGATTGTGAATTTGGTATCATTTCGTTTGGCATTTCTCTTCTGCAATATTGATACAAAGTTATAGAGGTGTATCTCTCTGAAACTGTATTTGCGTTGGTCAGGCCTTCTGTAATACTTGCAGATATTAGTTTGATGAAAGGCAATTTCTTTACCAAGTATTTGTGTTTTTCTCTTTTTTTAGAAATTCTCCGTGCTTGACTTCTTCTGTCGATAATATCAATAGATACCTTATCGATGCAGTATCGACACCGTTCATCTGTGTGGGGCGTGCATGCAAGGGCATATGAGGAGTGCCATTATAACCAGAGGTGGATTATCTGCCTATCCATTTCTATATTCTCCCCATATCCTCTGATATGTGATCATGATTAAACTATATAAATATTTTATATTAATTTTTTATTAAAATAATAAAACAAAAAGTAATAGAAATAGAAAATGTTAATGTCGTTTAACCGTGACCATACAAACAGGAGGACATGGGAAGAGTATGAAAATGAGAGGGCAGACAATCCACCTCCATTATGACCCTCTACTATGGGAAGAATCTAATGGACCTGGCTTCTCTGCCCTCCCCCTTCCCATACACTTTCATCTCCTCCTATTTGTGCAATCACATCAACATTTTATATTACTATTAATTTTTATCTTATTATCTTTATAAAAAAAAATCAATATAAAATGTTAACATAACTTATCTGTGATTGTACAAAATAGAAAGAAATGAGAATGTATAGCAAATGGAAGGGCAAAGAAGCCATGTCCGAATCTATTAGTATGTAGTAAAACACCTATGCACCGTCATCGTGGTGTCCTGTCCGTGTCCAAAATTAACGTTTTAATGAATCAAAGAAAAGTTGGTTGTGACGTGATTTTATTCAATCCGTAGGCCACAGTTGATGCAGACAAATCTTCCTTTCACGTTCTGTGGTGGAGAAATTTTCTTGAACGAAAGACAAACCGACAACCTTAGCTGTAGTTTTCAAATGGTTGATGAGTACCTTCCATTTTCTCAGTGAATGTAGTTTTCAATAATCTTATACTTACCATATATTTATTATTATCTATATCATTTTTTAACAGGAGTAAAATCCTTCAACATATACGGATTTCATTTTTATTAAAAATATATGCAAACTATAGTTCAAATATATATACTAAGGCTAGTATTTTTGTTTTCTAATGTACTTGACTTTTTGAAGAAGTATGGGTCTCTCACTGTTAGAGAGTCTTAACACCCATTCTAATAATAATTTTTGGGATGTGTTACCTACAAACTCTTTTTAACTTCTCATGCACCCTCTTAATTTGTTGTTGTCAGATCAAACGAATTAAAAAGAAATCAACGACATAAATTAAAAAGAGATGCTTGAGAATTAAAAAAGTGTTTGTGGATAGCACATCCTTAATTTTTAAGTGGTAGGTTTAATAGCATCCCAAATTATGTGATGGGGATTTTGTTTTCTCAAAATCTGAAGTATCCCACACTTCGAAAAATATGATTAATTTTAGTGGGACCTAGAAACTCTGATGAATTCCACACTTCAAAAAAAATTCTCAAAATCTGAAGTATCCTACACTTTGAAAAATATGATTAATTTTAGTGGGGCCTAGAAACTCCAATTCCACACTTCCAAAAAAAAAAAAAAAAAATCAAGAGAACCATACGAACTGCACGGATGATTTAGTTTGGTTCGGTTTTTTTTTTAATTTTCAGTGGTTAAATCGAATCGCACCGACTTTAATCGATTTGACAATCGATTCTCAAAATTCATAGGGGGCGGTTAACCAAACCGACCCCCATATGTTTAATTTCATTTTTTTAACCATAATTAATACGTGTAGTAATATAAACGGTTAATTAAACTAGGGGGACCATTTCGAGAACGCAGCAACTGCTGCTTTGGTGCTCTCCTTAGGCTCCTTTATTTGTGTTTTCTTTTGAGCAATCACTCATATTAGTGCTACATTATGTAGCTTTTGGAGAGAAAACTGTTATGTATTTTTCGTCTTCACACAAACCCAAAATCGACCAAAGCTAACCCGCCACTATCGGTTAAAGACCCAGCTTGGTCAGTTTCGATTTGCAATTTTGGCCCAACCAACTAGGTCGGTTTGGTTTCGATTTTGGCCCAAAACTCAACTGAAACCAACCCGCGCCCACCCTTACTTTTAACATATATTTCTTGAGCAAAGAAGGAAACATGTTGCTCATCTATCTTAAGCAATAATCTTGAGCTTTTACACAATCCAGTAGAGATACAATACAATATTAATTCTATGTTTGTCTATATTGTGTTGCGTTTTGTTTTATTAATTAGTACATTCTTTTCATGGTGGTATGCTTTAGTTTGTAGGACAACCTTTTTTTTTCCCGAGTAGGATTTTCTCCCCTCTTAATCTCCCTCCCTTCCTATTTGAATGGTTACGATTAAGCCACATCAACGTTTTGTATTAATTTTTTAATAGCCAGAAGAAGTCAAAAAGCAATCTATGAAAGGAGGGGAGGAAAGGGGATGAGAATAGAAGAGAAGAGAATTCTACTTTTTTCCCAGGTTCTATTATAGGCAATTGAATGTGCATTGTTCAACGGAACCAAACTAGGGGACTATGCACAAGTTAGAAAAGATCTACATGATAGGAGCATATTTATGCAACTTTGTTAGCTTATTTCCTTATATTTAGTGAGTTAGTTTCTATTTATTATAGTGATATAAGCTATTTTTGTGTGTTCCTAGGTTCAATTGGCTAAAGTGGCAAGAAAAGGCAATTTGGAGCATTTTAGAGCAGTTTTGGGCTTAGAATGGCTAGCACATGCATGGAGCAAGGTGGATGGATGAAATTGAAGTTCAAGAGGGGCTAAGAATATGCTAAAGAGATGGAAGAATTAATTCAAGACAAAGAAGATATGGATCTCAGCAAAGAAAGAAGGAAACAAGAGCCAAGTTACCTTATTTTGTCCTAAACCTATCCTAATCATTCACTACCTAAGTTCTAGCTGTTAGGGGGTCCCTAATTAATTTAGGACACCTAAATATATGTTTCTAGAAGGCCTAATCCCATTCCTAAAGGGAGCCGCACCTTTTCCTTCTAGAAAACCTTTTACCTTGCCATGCAAGCCATTTCCCTTTCTCTCTTGGATCCTGCCGCATATCCCTTTCCCTTTTCCTCTTGGATTCTGACATTTATTTACCCTTTTTCCTTGAGGATTTGGAGGGTAAATCTTTTCCAAAATTAATTAATTAATGCCTTGCATTTTCCCTTTATTTTCATATGTTTCTGCCGCACAAAGGGGACCATTCAGCCATCCATCATACACACAATTCCGCACCAGCCAATTTTCATACACAAACACCTTGTGCCACAACCTTGCAAGGTGAAAGGAGAGGAGACCTTTGGAGCCGTGCTTGCTGTTCAAGTTTGGATTGTTGGAACATTCTTAGGTGTATTCTATCTTTTGTTTTCAAAGTTTAATTTAAGTTATTCTGATCTAACTTTATCTCGACCAATCCTACTCTTATTAGGACTTTGAACTCACCCCCTTTTTAGGCCACATTAATTGTCGATCGAGAATCCATATTGCACTAGGACCCTTTATCGTATTGGGACTTCTTCGACCCATCCGTTCATCCAAATTACTCCGTCTTGCAATAGGACTCGACCACCTTTATTGAACAGCCCGAGACCAGCAGGCAGCCTATAGTATATTTGGAAAAGCTTTGGGCCGAACCTACGCTTGGCCTAAAATGTTATTTTAGGCCCAAACATTGCCCCCCTCGCTTCTGAGGTCTTCGGCCTGGAACCCCTTACTTGATTTTTGACCTTGAAGAAGTAAACCCCAGAAGATAACAACGGGATAATGAAAAGCCTCACACATCCCAACCGTCGAACGTATTTATGACACATGATCACACGATCCGAATTTCCCTGCACGTCTTGCCCCATGTCAATCCTTTGGTTATCCTAGCAACCCCTAATCATGACCCTCGAAACGTGCCTCAGCCGAAACATCTCTTCCACATTAATGCATTAAATCCGCCGCAACACGTAATCGTGTGTTCTCAAACCATGAAAACCTCAATTTTCCCCCCGAGATTCCCAAGATACCCATAATGATTTGGGATTTCCCGGTCGATTTTGCCCTAAAATTTGAAAATCAACTGCTCTTGAAGATCAAACGTTTGACCTTCCTCTCGAAATGCTTATAAATACCTGAGTTTCCTTCATTTATATTTTACGTCTTCAAATAACTTGAAACTCTTCTCGCCATTTCTGCCTTCAACATCCCAGAAAGTCTCAAGGTCTCATCCTAGAAATCTTTCCAAGCTTTCTTCCCAGAAATCCTTCCAACCTCCCTACAATGGCTTCCAACACCTTTATTTCCAAACTCTCCGATGAATGTGCTAAGTGTCGGGACTTTATTGACTGGAGTGCCATCAAAAACCTGCGATTTGAAGGTGACTCAAGCTCCTCCCATCAAATCTTAGGACCACTATTCAAAGATAACGTCCCGGCATCCATCATCAACCTCCTCAAGGATCATTGCCTGGCACCCCTGCGTCAAGGTTTTGATTAGTCGAAGTGGGAATCAACTAAACCCCAAGGGGCTTGGCCTTTACCACCATGGCTTGGGTAGCGTGGGTTAAAAGGATGGAGAAGTTCTTCAGTAAAGAATAGAGGGTTCTTGGTATCTACGACGCTATCAGGCTTTCGACCATCGAGATTGTTATAGACAATGAGCTTCTTATGGCAGATCTAAGCTTTTGGTGCTCGGCCACCAATACCATGATTCTTCCACTTGGCCCCATTGGTCCCACCATTTTTTATGTCTCAGCCATTCTCGGGACTTCTCTTTTGGGTCTCCCGATCGACGTCTCTCTCTCTGGGTGTCCATCCAATCTCGACCTTAAGATGCTCTTCGATGAATGTGATGTTAAATCACTGAGGAAGAAACACCAAAAGCCCATAAAAGAAGAAGTTCAGAAACTGCACAAGAACTTCTTCAACTACAACACCCTTATCCAGCATTTCGCTGGCCGAGGCGAAGAAAATCTCAGGAATAGGGAACATTAAGCCTTCATTTTCTATTGATACAACAAATTCATTTTTTGTACCAAATCAAATAAGTGTTTGGTGGAGAACATGCCAATTGTTGAGG